TGAAACTCTTCTGTTTGTTTATAAAATAGGTTTCATACTTCAAAGAGATTTCTGATCATCTTCAAGATAATATGTATTTTGCTTGTGGTAGAAGAAATCTTGCCTTGATAGGATGAAGAAAGATTATAGGCATAAGCACAGGCTAAGTGTTTCACAAATATCCCATGAGCCTTCACACACTAAAGGTCATCACAGCCAGTTGCAACTCAGAGTTGGAAAATCGTTTCCTCTTCACTCGAGGTGCGAGGTCGCACCTTGAGTACTGTGTTCAGTTATGGGCCCGTCTCTACAAGAAGGACATCAAGGTACTTGAGCACGTCCACAGAAGGGCAATGAAGTTGGTGAGGGGCCTGAAGAACAAGTCCTACGAGGAGCAGATGAGGGAGCTGGGTTTGTTCAGCCTGAATAAAAGGAGGCTCAGGGGTGACCTTATTACTCTCTATAGATATCTTAAAGGAGGCTGTAGTGAGGTGGGGGTTGGCCTGTTCTCCCATGTGCCTGGTGACAGAATGAGGGGGAATGGGCTAAAGTTGTGCCAGGGGAGGTTTAGTTTGGGTATTACAAAGAACTACTTTACCGAAAGGGTTGTGAGGCATTGGAATGGGCTGCCCAGGGAAGTGGTTGAGTCACCATCCCTGGAGGTCTTTAAAAGACGTTTAGATGTTGAACTTAGAGATATGGTTTAGTGGAGGACTTGTTAGTGTTAGGTCAGAGGTTGGACTCGATGATCTTGAGGTTTCTTCCAACCTAGACAATTTTGTGATTCTGTGATAATGGATAGGATGCTTGAAGAAAATGGACTTATACAAGACTCTCAAGTTTATAAGATCTTGCTGATTCTTCAAGGAGTGCAATTGCAGCAGTTCCTCATGTCCACAGGTGCCCACAGATATTTTCAAAATGAAAGCAAAAACTGTAAGGTTTGAATATAGCACCAAATTAGAGTAGCCTGAAGCATAACTGTTAGTGCTTTTGTGGCCAGACAACAGTGCTGGCACAAGTTCCAAGCCAAACATAGGCCATGAAGATATATTCAGTGAAATACCTTGCAGAAAAACATAACCCATACAAAGATAAGGATACTTCAGGCTCATTGCCAGTCTAACTTGGCCTGTAACTTCTGGATGGTTCAACAGGTAGGCACACCTTTTTTTTGTCTCTGTTGTACAGGTAGAAAAACTACATGCTGTTAGATAGCTTCCAGGATCAGACTCTTGGCAGAGGAAAATACAACTTCACTCAAGCTAATGAAGCAGTGCTAGCTGGCAGCTGTAAAGGATCCCCTTCCACCAACCCCCAGACACATGCTGAAAGATGTCTGAATTTTAAAAATGGAAAAGACTTTGTGGAAAAGACTTTGTCAAATCAGACTCTATAGTTTCTCCTCACCAGGAGCCAACACTGCACAAATTGGGCACTCAAACAGGCAAAAGCTATTATCTAAAGATGCGAGAAGTGTTTAGAAGAAAATAGCAATTTACAGTTTGAACCAATATGAAATAAAACGTTGGCTTTGCCTTATCTATTTCAGCAACTAGAATACTCATTTGTAAGCTGTGAGCTTCTGTCTGTCTACCATTATATGATTGAACAAGGCTCCCCACTGATCATCACTGACATGTAATACAAACAATAAATAGTGAGTTTTAAAAGCCAATGAAAACACAGACAACAAATTAATAGAAAGTACCAATCTCGGTACATTTTCTGCTTTTTCAGTCTAAGTGACCTGTGTCTAATGATGGTAATACTTTTGGGTTGCAACTTTTCTTAACTTGACCATTTTGTTATAAAGAACATTGCAGAGGCTATTCAGGTGTTATGGGTGTAGGTGCAAGTACGTGTGCTTTCCTAACTGGAAGGAAATTTCCCTTTGAGAGAAGGGGATCTTCAAGGTCTTTAGGCAGACCTAGGATTCAACATTTAGGATTTCGGTAGGAGAAAAGTGGTGGGTCAGGCTGTGTCCTTTTTTCGTATCTGTGTGCCAGGATAAGTATGGATGTCTGTCTTTGTGACTGCTTGAATGAATTCCTTGAATGGCTTCAGGTTTCACATGTAAACTTTTTTAAATACAAGCTCTGTTATTTAAATCCATTGTTTTATTTTGATCATTATATCAAAGAGTGGAAGTATTTAACATTGGTCCTGATCACCTGCAGTGTCCTGAAAGTTTGTTACATTGACCGTACATTTTTTATTTCTTTGATTTAAAAATAAAATCCGACACAACAAATATAGCATTGAATCCTTTACAAAGCAGGGTTATGAGCTCTGTATGTTGTGTGTTCTAAAGGGCCTTGCTGTCTTGGTAAAAAATAAAGTTATTGCAAGCCAGGAAGTTTCAAAGGTAGAGCCAAACTTGAAACAAACAAGAGAGTTGGCTTGGCTCTCTGCAACAAGCATAAGCCAGGCAAAGAGACCTGACTGTATTTGCTTATGGACAGAAAAATTCAGGGAAGGGCATGCATCAGAAGATTTTTTGGCAGAAAATAAGGCCACAGTGTTCCTCTTTGCTTGTCCCTTCTTTGGTGAAAATAGAGCTAAAGTAGATCTTGGGTCAAGTGGTAACTGTCTTGTTCATCATCTGTTTAAAATCAGAACAGAAAGACCCCTTTTCTCTACTATGCTCTTTTAGATTACTATGGAGGAATAATGAAATTCCCACATAATCTGCTCTCTTCACTCTCTGCTATTGTCCAAGTTTTTCCTGTATTAACAGTTTGCCTAGATCACAAAAAAGGCCTGAATGCCCGATTGTTGTTGTTTGTTTGTTTGTTCGTTTGTTTGTTTCTGGAGATTTTAAAATCAAACAAATAAAATCAACCTTTTATCTTCAAAAAGATATATATCATCCACAAGTTATGAAGAGACAAGTTGTATGTTGTTTAAGTCCTCCCACAGTAAGATTCCAGTTATGAGCTTGGACTTTCAGTATTGACTTCCAAAGAGAGTGGATGAGCTCTACATTATCAGTATTTGATACATATTTTTCTACAGCAAGATTTGGCCCAAATCCTTTTCTTCTTCTTAATCCATTTAACCTTTTGTAGCAAGAGCACTACCTCCTTGTACTTAAACACCAGAACTGTGCCTGGAGCTTGACCCATCATATTTAGGCTGCATCACATTCAAATAGAGAGCAAACTAACTGAAAATTTGCTCTCATGGTACAAAGCAAATTAACTGAAAATCTGTGGCTTATGGCCATGGCTTGTATGTGTGTATAGTTCACTGTAAGAAATGTTTGGAGTGGTGTGATCTAACATCATTCAACATTCAAGCATAATGGGCGTAACCACATTGCCACTACACAGTGAATGACGGGCCAGATTCATTATCCTGGGTTTGTGCCAAGAGTATACAAATGATGAATTTATAGCCAAGATTCTGCCAGTTTTCTTCAAAAGCAAATTTGAAAGCTTGATTGTTAAAAGAGGTTTTCTTAATACAAAATAATGCAAACCTCTAAATCCTGTCTAAAGGAGCAGGAAAGAGCTAGTGAATGAAGATGTAGAAAAAGGTCTGAGAAACAGAAGTGGCCATTTAAACCTCAGAGGAGTTATTTTGCCTAAATAGCAGCAAAATTTTCCTAGCTGGGACGATAGATCATATGTGAATTAGTTTGTCATTAATAACACCAGAATTTCTACAGGAGGAGGTAGTTATTTTGAGGACAAACAGACAAAACGGAAAACCTATAAGGACATTATCTGGTTGTATATATGTAAAAACCCCCTCCTTCAACTATGTAATCAACATTAGTACTTCTCCCTAAATAAATGTTATGATCCTCAACCAAAGGTATTGCAGGTATTCATTTCATCTGGTATTTGACCAGATGCCAGTGTGGAGCAGATTTCCTTATGACTGCAAGATGGAGGACTGTGGGGCCTTAATAATCTGAGGCAGCTGTATTTCCAGTACTTGCTGTTTTGTCATAATTCTCATGATGGTGGATGTTTCTCCTAAACCTTAGCTCCTGTATTCCTGTAATTTTATAAGAAATTCAAGTTACTTCTAAAACAAAAAACAAAACAAAACAACAACAACAAAAAAAAAGATGAATCTTTGTGGTTGCTTGCACAGGAAAACTTGAAAATATCAGGCTTTAAGGATCAAAAACTGGAAGGGAGATAAAAAGAGCTCATGTTTATTTTGCTTGAAGTCTCATGATTTTGAAGTTTTTCTTGTTCTCTTGAGAGGTTAACTCATGGTTTTCAGTGTTAAATGACAGCAAGAAAGTATCTGTGGGATAGAAAAAAAGTAACTTTCTAATCTCAAGAAGAGTAATTAACAAAAGACTTGAGACTATGAGTGATCTTTGTTTTTTTATATCAGAGTACTGGGTACAGAGTCAGATTATATGTCTCGCAAACCTCCTAAAGGATTAGCAAAGCACAGTAAAATCATAATTTTCTAATTATGTGAGTTATAAAATCTTTGCCTCTAATAGATTGAAAAATATAAATATGTATTACATTTTTCTTATTTCTGTTTCCATACTAACCAATTTAAGCCACAGGGGAAAACAACAGTGAAGAAAATTTAAACACATAACTGAACCCAGTTTTGTTTGTTTGTTTGTTTTCTTTTTCTTCAAACAGGAAAAGTTGGTTGGCAGGATGGCTGTGCTCACACAAATATGCACATTTGTGCACAAGTGGAAAAAATTTTGTAAGAGCATTTGAGGACTGACAGGTTCTGTGGTTAAGATACATAAAGTGTGTTTCTTGTGTCTCCTGCATACTTACACGTGGTCTTGATGTTTTTTCAGTAATTCTGGGGAAAGAAGAAAAGAAGGCATAATTATACTTTGAATGTATATGTTGAATGTATATGTTGAAATATGTAGCTGTAGCTGTCTCTTCTATTTCAGTCTGAAATATTCTAAACAGAAAATTTGGGTACATCTGGTCACTGTGAAGTTCGGCCAGCTACACAACACGGTGATCATTCATCACAAGTAGACTCACTGACCTTTTTCTCCTCCTTTTCTGCAGGACTGCCCTCCAGAAGCAGGTGATTTTCGTGCTCAACAGTGCTCGGCACACAATGATGTCAAGTACCAGGGGCAGTTTTATGAGTGGCTTCCTGTCTCTAATGATCCTGACAACCCGTGCTCGCTGAAGTGCCAGGCCAGAGGGGCAGCTTTGGTTGTAGAACTGGCACCGAAGGTTCTGGATGGGACCCGGTGCTACACTGAATCCCTGGACATGTGCATCAGCGGCTTGTGCCAAGTAAGGAGAGAAGCCGTACTCTGCCACCTTTGTTGATGATTTCTTACCTCAGTTCTCTCTTACATGTTCTCTTCTTCTCCATATGTGTACCATTTAGGGTTCTTTTTAGTCATCTGTTTTCATAATCTTGTTCTCTTTACTGTTGTCTTGTTTGGAAGAGGTATACAAAATCAATGAGCAAAAGTTATTTTCTCACTTATACAGTATCTTTAGGTTTTTTGGAGGAATGTTATCTCAGGTTTTGAACTGTTTTGTAGTTAGCTGCAGTAGTAGATCAAGTTTGATAGTATCCTAAAAAAATAAGTTTAGCTTTTTATTTTGCTTTGCAAAAGCTTTCCAAGTCTAGAAAATTATGTTGTCTTTGAGGATTATTGCTCCCTATAAGTCACAAACCACATAGTGGTGGATGAAGTACAAAACTGGAAAATCTACCAGTTGTTTGTAACATAACCGAGCAAGCTGCTACACCTCTTTGGGCCTCAGTTTCTCCATTTGTTAAAAGTAAGACTTTTTAACCCTTAAATTCAAGTCTAGAATTCACGTCTAAATTCAGCCAATTTATTGACATCCTAATTTGTCTTCTTCATTTCACTGAGTTGCATTTCTATTACCTTTTATTTATGTATTGCATTTATATATATATTACTGTTATTTTGAACCTATCTACATCAAACTTTATTTGCTTGAGCTGCTTATAGGCTACAGGCTAATGGATGGGAGTACATTTGTGCCATCTCTGTTAGCACCAAGCACACTTCAATATTAGATAAGGCAAAGTTTGGGTTCATGTTTCAATGTCCAGTTTCCTTCAAATCTAAGTAGATTTTATACATTGTTGGCTTTCTATGTATTTTCAGTCACATTATGTACCTTAGGAAGTTTTCTCCCCTGCTTTTTTTTCTCTTTGATTTTCTACCAAATTTTCTGTCATATTTCATTGATTTTATTATACTGCATTCTGATGAAGAGCCAGCCTTATATGGTGATCACTAAAATCATACTGTAATTTGTTAAATGCATGGACTTCTTTCCCTTTTCTTTGACTGACAGTTCATCTGTTCTGTTCTCTACCATCACATTTTTTATACTCTCTGATCTGACAACTTTGCTTGGTTGTGGATTGTGTCCTTCCCTGCCATGTCCCTGTGACTGCCTTCCATATTTCTTGCTGTGTGTTTTCCCTTGATTATTCACTCAAGCTGAAGTGTTAGTGCAGCTCTCTATTCCCTCACACTTTCATACTTCGGGCTCTAGAAAAACCCTGATCAGGATGCAGCACTGGATTGTGAGGAGCATGGTTATGTATGCTCTGAAAGACCTGTAACCCAATCACCAGTAACCATAAAAATTCTGGGATTTTTACTAATGAAAACAAAATCTCTTTCCTGTTATCCAGTTTCTTCTAACATTTCCCTTCCACAAACCAGACTCCTTGGTTTTCTCTCTCTGATTCTGCTGAAGGGGAAGCATTCCATTTTTGTTTCTGTCTTTCTCTATTTTCCTGATCATTTTCACTTGTTCTTCCTGTTATCATAATCTTCATAGTTGGTTCACTTTCAATTTAATTTTTGTCTTCTGATTGTCTGAATTCCACAAATATTCCTTTTGTTAACTCTGGCAAGGAAGAGCAAGAATATCAGTCTTTGCTTTCTCAGGTGATCAAGGGTTATCCAAGGCTTCTACTGTCTCCAGTATTAATGGCAGAATCTGTGTGTGGCTGTGTGCCACCAGATCAGGATGATTATGTTATTTATTAAATGATTTGCCAGGCAGCTAGGTGCTATACAGTGTTTCCAAAGAACAGCTCCCATCAGTATTGTAGCCAAAACTACACCTGATGTAGATGAGTACTTCCCTGAAGCCACATTCACTGATCAGGTGCTTGCAGTCTGGGAAGTCTCTTATATTTACACATGTGGCATGGTACTTCTGCTCTGCATTCCTCCTTCCCAGCCCAAGGAGCCCAGATTCACGGGGATTGGAAAAGTGATAATTCAGCAGTTTCCCAGTCCACACAGGATCTCTGTGTCCCCTCCTTTCTCATAGGAACTTACTCTTTTCACTTAATTGTCTCTCTCTCTCTCCCTCTCTCTCTCTCTCTCTTTTTTTTTTTCTCCCTGTAATATGAACCTCAGTGAAGTGTGCCATCTGAGGTCTTGCTTTTAACATTTTAGCCACAGAACAAGACAACAGCATTCCTTCACCATGAAAACTCATGATAGCCCTCGCAAACTTACAGCATTTTAATATTAAAATGTTAAACTTTAAAAATGTCTATTACTAGAACATTCCCTTTTATCTAACATTCCCTACAGGGACGTGACTAAGTAAGCTCTCCCACCAAATGCAAAACTTGTAACCGCTGTATCTGAACGATAGCATAAATTTGCTTGCAAAAACTTTTTTTTTTTTTTTTTTTTAAAAAAAAAGAATTATGCTGCAATTAATAGCAACATTTAGGAATATGGTGCTTAGTAAAAATCCATAAAAATTGATTTGATGTATGCCTGGGTTTTGTTAAAAGCTGACTGCTTTCTTACACATGCAGGTGTATAAGACCTACTGACTCCTTTAAAATTCTCTAAAGAATCAAAATAAAGGGGCAAATTTTTGCCTTCTTTTATTTCAGTTTAAACCAGGAATAATTTAACATTAGTAATAGATTATTCTGCTATTGAAAAATCAACTCTCTTACTAATTGTATGTTTGTTATTATTGCTGCCACTACAGTTGTTGTTGCTGTTGTTATTAAAGCTTGTTAAATTATTTTCTGTTTATACTGGAATGGCAGAATGAAACATATTATAACTCTAATAGCAGGATTAGACACAAAAATACAAAAGCTGGTCATTCCTGAGGAGGCCTTCAGGGAAGTTTGCTACTTTGAAAAGAATGGGGCTGGAAAAAGCACACTTGTTTCTTCTTTCAGAACTATCCATCTTTCTCCATCTGGTGGTTTTACCCATCTCAACAGTTGAACTCCCCCATAACCGCTCTCTCACTCCCCCTCCTCAAAGAAAAAATGGGAGAAAATACTACAGAAAAGGCTCAAGGGTTGAGATAAGGACAGGAAGATAGCTCACCAATTATCATCATGGGCAAAACAGACTCAGATCAGAAAGATTAATGCAATTCACTGTCTATTACTAACAGAATAGAGCACTGAAAAACTAAATGCAAACTAAAAACCTTTACCCTGTATACGCCCTTCTACCTGCTCCTCCCAAGCGGTGCAGGGGAACGGGGAATGGGGGCTGCCGTCATTCTCTGTTGCTTTGTCTCCGACACTCTTTCACAGTCCCTCTCTGCCCCTGCTCTCTGTGGGGTCCCTCCCACGGGATGCCGTCCTTCCCGAACTGAGCCTGCGGGGGCTGCCCACAGGCACCAGCTCCTCAGGCACTGCTCCCACATGGCTCCGTACCATGGGGTCCATCCATCCATCCCCCAGGAGCAAACTGCTCCAGCACGGGTCCCCCACGGGTGGGCGGCAGCTCCCCCCAGACCCCCTGCTCCTGCGTGGGCTCTGGCCAATGGCAAGTCTCTTTGGAGCCGTCTGGAGCTGGATCTGATCTGACACAGGGCAGCTGCTGGATTCTGCTGCAGCCCCCCTGCTAACGGGCCTTTGCTGTGTAAACTTGATACACTCCATTGCATTCTTTTCATTTTGGAGGTTGTTAGTTAAAGAGAGATGTCATCTCATAAAATCTTATCTTAATGTCTGATATTTATGGTAGTATTTATTTGTTGTATTTACAGATCAATCACCATATAGTACTAGTGGTAGTTTATAATCTTCTCTGATTGATTGACTGATTTACAAGACTTTTTCCTGTTAAGATGAATAGCGAAGTCATCAGATAGCAGGATTACTGCCCCCTTATTTACCTTTCACAAACTCTGATAAGTACCTGTAGTAAAAGCGATCAGTCTATGGACACCAGGATGCTATGGACACTGGCTGAAAAACACTGACTGAAAAATAAATAAATACATTAGGAAAGATTATTTAATAAAATACCATGGCTTGAAATAACAAAAAGTATTGCTTGTTTTGAAGTCAATATTGCAATGGAATTGCAGCCAACAAAACAAATTTGTACTTCCAGAGCTATAGTTCATCTCAAACTGAGGCAGTGAGTGCACTGGATTAAGAATATTTTGCCAGAAGTCCATTTTGTATGTTTTTTCATCTACTTCTCAAAACAAAACAAAACAAAACAAACAAACAAACAAAAAACACTCTAATATTAGTCTTAAGTACTAATTCTTACTATTTTGACATTACTCATCATTAGCTGCTCCTTATAGCACATGTGTTTTTAGCTCCTTCACCAGCTTTGTTGATCTTCTTTGTGCATGCCCAAGCAACTCAATGTCCTTCATGTAGTGAAGGGCCCAAAACTGAACACAATAGTCACCAGTACTGGGTATGGAGAGACTATTACTTTCTTAATCCTGCTGGCTGCACTGTTTATGACAAAAGCTACAATGCTGTTGGCCTTCTTGGCCACCTGGACACACTGCTGGCTCATGTTCAGCCAGCTGTTGACCAGCACCTCCAGGTCTTTTTCTGCTGGGCAGCTACCCAGCCACTCTTCATCAAGGCTATATGGCTGCATGGGGCTGTTGTGAGCCCAGCACAGGACCCAGCATTTAGCCTTCCTGAATGTCATGTGGAAGGATTCAACCCATCCGTCCAGCCTGTCCAAATCCTTGTGCAGTCTTCATACTCAAGCAGATCAACTCTCCTGCCCATCTTGGTGTCATCTGCAACTTACTGAGGGTGCATTCAATCCCCTCATCCACGTCATTGATTAAAATGTTAAACAAATCTGGCTAGAATACTGAGACCTGGAGATCACAGGTTGTGACTGCCCACCAACCAGATTTAACTCCATTCACAACAACCTTTTGGGCCTAGCCATTTGGACATGTTTTTGCCCAGTGAACTGTACATTTGTCCAAAACAAGAGCAGACACTTTCTCCTGGAAAGGGCTGT